CAGGATGCCAACACATTGGTAGTTCTTCCTCGGGGATGTTGACAGGATATCAGCCTGTATGGTGTTGGTTCTCCTTGAGAACCTCTGAGTGGGGCGTCTCCGGCCATGTTGATTTATGTTTTCAGCCTACTTGGCTGCCTTAGGCCATTCTGAGCCATACTGGGTACTGGGGCAATCTTGGGACCGCTTGGAGCACTCTGGTGGCATCTTGGGGCTTCTTAGGAACGTCCGTGCGGCAATCTTGGAGGCAGAGTTTTCCCCGAAGAGGCCTGCCACATACACTAATCCCGCTCTCGCCCTTCGCTTGAGCCGCTCTTTGGCCAAGTTGGCCCTTCGTTTCTCCGGCCGACCTTCGGGCGCGGCAGCTCTCTTGCGCAGACGCAGTGCAACCACACTGTCTGGCTACAGGATGAGCGAAGCGATACATGAGCGATCCGCTTCCTGAGCAAAGCGATCAATACAATTAGGAGGAGCCTTTTGGGGCATCGATGACCGCGGCCCAGGAGTCCCACCGACGCCCTGGCTCGGCCAAGTTGTCGGCTTTGTCGGTCCCAGATGCCTCTAGAATGCTCAATGTGGCCAGATGGGTCGTCGAGAGGCCACCATCATAGTCCCAAAGGGCTCCAAGAAGCACTCAAGACAGGCAGACTCGTTCCCAAGACGGAGCACGATGCCCTAAGATTGCGCCAGTTTGATCTCAGCAGGCTTCGTGATGGTTTAGCGCAGGGCCTCCACTGTAATTTTTATTCTTATGACATTTATCGCCCCAGGAGCTTCCAATATTGCCCAGAAGCCCAGAGAAGCTTGAAGAGGGCCCAAATCGCCCGAGCTGGCCTCAAGATGGCCCCAGCTGAGGGCCCCAGATGGTATCCAAGACAGCACCAAGTCGTTTCCAAGGCGTTCTTCTGCTGTTGCTGACTTCAGAGTACCACTGTCCTAGGCGCCTTCCGCCGAGAGTGGAGGAAGTGGTAATCTTTAGAAAGAAGCCAGCCTAGGTACTCATCGCGTCTCCAGGCCGGCATCCTATACATGGCCCGGCAGGGCGGCCTATAGCCGAGGAGACGGAAGTGAAAGTTGCTTGCACCTCCAGATTCCCGTTAGCACAAGGCTCTCGATTGACGGAGGCCGAGAACATTAGTCAAGGGTCAAACAAGAAATTACCAATCAAGGGGCCGCTTGGAGAGTATACCCTGCCGGAATCAAACATCAGGGGAGGCCCCCGAAAGTTAAATAAAGTCGAACCGATTCAATCCAGAATCAAGGCGGTCCAAGATCCAAGAGAGCCCTAAGATAGCTGGTAGCCAGGCGACCGATCCGTTGCAGGAGCAAGACCCCTCCAAGGGCACCACGAGACCTCGAGGGATCCCAAGGGAAGGCGCTTGCCGCCCCCTTGCTGGTCCACTATCTAGCACGCCTCGGGCACGTTGGGCCGCCCAAGAGGCCCCAAGAGGGGCTCCAACGTGCCTCAAGGTAATGCAGCAGCAGCAGCAGCAGCAGCAGCAGCAGCAGCAGCAGCAGCAGCAGGGATCCAGCAGTTGCCAGGAACAGTTAGCAACAGCTAGGGCAAAGCGCTTTTCTGTCCCCGCGCCGCCCAAGCATGATACGCCTCTGGCCCGATGGGCTGGCGCATTTGCTACGACCCCCGCAGAGGCAGGGCCAGACGACACATGGTATGTGTGCGACGGCAAGGCCCAAGGGTATCACAAAGACCCTGGCGTTCGGTGTTCTGCACTGGTGCCCAGACCAGTGGCCGAGGCGGCGCCTGTGGCCGCCCTTGGCCGCGGGGAGGCCGCGGTGCAGAGGCCGCCGAGCCCGCGCGACTCTGGCGACGGGCCTGGCGCTAAGCCCTCCGCGGCCGCCCCCCTTGGCGGGGAGGCCGTGGCGCGAGGCTCACCGAGGCTGTGCGGCCCCGCCAACGGATCCGGCGCGGATGCTGCCACCGTCGGCGCCGCGCTCGTGACTGCGCCGCCCGCTGGCCCCGCCGGCTCGCCGCCCAGCGGGGCTCGGATGCCTGCGTCCGCCAGCGAAGGAGCCGAGCAGAGGCGGCGCCTGGAGGCTCGGCTGGCGGAGGTGCGCCAGGAGAAGGTCGCGGCCGTGGACGCCGAGGACTTCGGCGCCGCCCTGGCGCTGAAGGAGCAGGAGCGGCAGTTGGTGGCGGAGCTCGCTGCCCTGGGCGCCGGGCCCGCCGCGGACGGCTGGCCCTCCGTGGCCAGGCCCCAATCGACGAGGCCGCCGTCGACCGCTGCCGTGGACCCGGCGGCTGCGGCTGCCGTCGAGTCGGGCGCGAAGCCCCAGGGCGGCGGTGGCGAGGCCCAGGAGTCCGTGCCCCCGCCCAAGGCCGCGGCGGTCGCGCCCGCGGGCGCCCCTGGTGTGGTGGCCGGGACGCACGTGCAGGGCCTTCTGGGCCCGCTCGAGGCCAGCGACGAGTCTGGCAACGACTCTGGCGACGGGTCTGGCCACGACGGGTCCGACAGCGACGACTCCGGCGACGAGTCTGGCGACGAGTCCAGCTCCTCGAGCAGCCCGCCGTCGCCAGCGCGGCTGCAGGCTGCGGCCCAGGAGAACGGCGCACCCCGCCTCCCCAGCGGCCCGCCGCCGGCTGTGCCGCCGCCCGCGCCTGAGCGGGCCGCCGCCCCGATCGGCCCGCCGCCCGCCGTGCCGCCGCCCGCCCCCCAGCGGCCCGCCACCCCAAGCGGCCCGCCGCCCGCTGTGCCGACGCCTGCGCCCCAGGGGCCCGCCGCCCCAAGCGGCCCGCCGCCGGCGGCCGCCCGGCTCACCGCCGGAGGTGTGAAGGCGCGCGCGTGCGCGAAGATGCTGGCGCACTCCGGGCTGCGGTGCTTCTGCCACTTCCGGCTGATACGGGAGTGCCCGGCCCACCTTAGTCTGGGGCCCGTGGTGCTGGCCAGAAAGAGCATCGTGGCCTTCTTTTTCCTCCCTCCTGTCTCGTCGCTGCCCTCCTCCTCATCTCCCCATCCCGCTTCCCTGCTGCTCCAGATCTTCCTCCTCGTTCTTCCACCTCCTACTTCGCCCTTTGCTCCTCCTCCTCCTCCTGCCCTTCCTGCTGCTCCTTCCCCCCCTCCTCTCCCCGGGCTCTCTCCTTGCTTCTCCCCCTCCTCCCTCCTGATGCTCCTCCCCCCTGCTCTCCGGGGGCTCTCTCCTTGCTTCTCCCCCTCATCCCCCCTCCTGTTGCCCTGCCCCTCCCTACCCCCCTTCCTCCTGCTGCTGCTCCTTCCCTTTCTGACACCTTTGAACGCCGCCGGTGTCCAGAAAACGCCGCCCCTTCAAGGCCGAACGATCCACGCGGTGACAGGAGCCAATGCCAGGGTCGTCTCGGCACGAAGCTGCCGTGTCCAGGCCCTCCCCCTCTGGCACGCAGCATCGGTGCCGCAGGGCGTCCAGGCCCCGCTCCCGGACCCGCCCCGATCCGCCGACCCTCTGCGCGGGCCCCGCTCCGCGGCCTTTGCCCCCCCCCCCCCCCCCTTCGCGGCTGCTTCGTTCTCCGAGGCGGGTCCGCCGTCCTGCCTGGCAGGGCACGGGGGGCCCTGGGCCGTGCTCCGCAGTTCGGGGGCGCCCCAGAGGGGGGGTGAGGATCAGGTGTGTTTTGTGGTTGAGCTCTCGCTATTGCAGAGTACTGATTGTTGATCTCCCTCTCCGGTGCACATCGTATTTTTTTCAATTGAAGTGCCCCTCCCGGCGCTCGCACCATGCTTTTTATAAGGGAAAGTCTTCCTCTTCAAACTGTGTTGTTGGCCCCCGGGTTGCAACAACAACGGCTCCCGCCTTAGACTTCCTCACAATTTAGCCAGGACCCCCGCTCCGGCCCGAGCCTTCCTCGCATTTTATTCAGGAATCGCGCTCTCGCTTGGGACCTTCTTACAATTTATTCAGGAACCGCTCTCTCGGCGCTCTGGAGTCGCGCTCTCGCTGGAGACGTGCTTGCAATTTACTTACGAATAGCGCCCTTGCGTTGGAATTTCCCGCAATTTGCTCCAGCGCCACGCTCCCGACACTCAGGCACCTAGGAGTCGCGCTCACGCGTAGTACTCCCTAGTACTCCCTCACAGATTTATTTAGGAATCGGGATCTCGCTGCCCTTCGCGGCCCCGTTGCAGCACTTCATGGCCCCCTCGCTGTCCTTCGTGGCCCCGTTGCACCCCTTCGTGGCCCCCTCGCTGCACTTCGTGGCCCCGTTGCAGCCCTTCGTGGCCCCCTCGCTGCCTTTCGTGGCCCCTTTGCAGCCCTTTGTGGCCCCCTCGCTTTGTTTCGTGGCCTCGTTGCAGCCCTTCGTGGCCCCCTCGCTGCCTTTCGTGGCCCCGTTGCAGCCCTTTCTGGCCCCTCGCTGCCCTTCGTGGCCCCGTTGTAGCAATTCGTTTCCCCCTCGCTGCCCTTCGTGGCGCCGTTGCAGCCCTTCGTGGCCCCTCGCTGCCCTTCGTGGCCCCTTTGCAGCCCTTCGTGGCCCCCTCGCTGCCCTTCGTGTCCCTTCGATCCTCCTCGAGTTTCCTCCTCCTCAGTCCTCCTCCTCGATGTTCCTCCTCAGTCCTCCTCCTCCTCGATGCTCCTCCTCCCTCGTCCTCGATCCTCCTCCATCTGATCCTGGACCCGCCTTCCTCCCGTCGTGTCTCTTCTCCTGCGCATGGGCGGGCCGCCTGCTCTGTTCGCGACGGCCCCGCGCCGTGACCCTCCTGATCCTCCTGACCCCTCGATCCCTCTCTTCCTCTTCCTCCTCCCCCTCCTCCTCCTCCTCCTCCTCCTCCTCCTCCTTCTCCTGCTTCCTCCTCCTGCTCCTCCTCTCCCTGCATCCTCCTCCTCTTCCTCGATGATCCCTCCTCTTCGATCCTCTTCGATTCTCATCGGTCCTCACCCGACCTCCTCGACTCCTCCTCGATCCCCCCCCTCCCCCCTCGCTCGCCTCCTCCCCTGGCCCTCCTGGCCTTCCTCCCTCGAACTCCCTCCCCGAGCCTCGCCGATCCTGGTCAATCTCCCCCCCCCCCCCGTCGCAGGTCTTCGGCATCCCACCAGGGCACGCCCAGGTGTCCGGCCGCTCGCGGCGGCAGCGCGCTGTGGGGGGCTCGCCGCCGCCGCTGCGCCGCCGCGCCGCGCCGCCGCCGCCGCCGCCGCCGTCGTCGTCTTCGTCGTCGTCGTCGCCGCCGCCGCCGTCGTTGTCGTCGTCGTCGTCGTTGTTGTTGTTGTCGTCGAAAAGGAGAAGGGGGAGGAGGAGGCGGAGGAGGATGAGGGGGAGGAGGCGGAGGAAGAGGGAGGGAGGGCGAAGAGGGGGAGGAGGCGGATGACGTGGGGGAAGAGAAGCAAGGAGGAGGATGAGGATCAGTGTAAGCCCAGGATGTACCAACGATGTTGCACTGAAACTTCCGTCCAAGTCCCCCCTTCATAGGCCCCTGCAAGAAATTGTTTCCACTGCGGCAAGCGCCTCATTGGAAGACAACCGTCTGATAATCCTCAACCAAGCCAAAAAGCCAAAACTCATTCCAGGGACTTCAGCGCCGCGAATCAGCGTGACGGTTGCGTCCTGACAGTTTGAAATCGTCCTGGAGTACCTTTCCTGGACATCAACACAGCCAATGAATGGGACTCTGGCGTCCTACCAACCCCAACTCGTGCCACAACGCAGTGCCTGGGACTTCAACAGTATGAACCCGCGAAGCTGTTGCAAGCATTCAAGACGAATGTGCGCGGTGATAGTGCGCGAACCACATTTCAAAAGCGAACCGCCCTCCATGCCGGAAGCTGTTGTAAACTTTCAAGGCGAGTGTGCTCGGCAGAAAGGCGAGGGCCACCTTTTGAAAGAGGCCTGCCCTTGATTTTTGAGGCTGTGGCGAGCTTTAAAGACGAATGCGCGCGGCACTAAGGCGAGAGTCACCCCCCTCCATTTTGTGAAACGGTTGCGATTTTCAGATTTTATGATCGTAAACGGTGAGGCACTTTCAGGCGAAACGCTCGGCCCGCCTTGCCGAGACGTCTGGGGGCGCGCGACAGGGATGATTTGTTTATGAGGAGAGGGATGGAGAAGGACGATGAGGAGGAGGATGAGGATGAGGATGAGGATGAGGGTGAGGAGGAGGAGGAGGAGGAGGAAGAGGAGCCCAGGGGGGGGAAGAAGGAGGAGGACCAGTCCAAGCCCAAGATGCATTAGCAATGTTGCAATACACCCTCCCTCTAATTTACAGGTCCCTGAAAGAAAGTATGCTTATTGCGGGAACTGTTCCACTGGAGGCTATACGCTTGAGAATCTTCAAGCGTGCCAGCACAATCAACGTGAAGCAACGTCGCGTGCCGCGTCCCGACAATCTTCAATCGCCCGCGTCTTCAGCGTCGCGAATCAACGTGCTTGTTGCGTCCCGACAATCGCAAATCGCCCCAGGACACCATCCCTAGGACTTCATCATCACGAGTCAACGTGACCGTTGAGTTACGACAATCCCAGAACGTGTCAGCACACCATTTCTGGGACTTCAGCCGTGCGAACCAGTGAAACTGCTGCAAACATTCAAGAGGACTGTGCACGGTGCTAAGGTGAGAACCGCTTTGTTAAATGGAGTCGTCCTCCATCTGTGAAGCTGCTGTGAACTTGTACGACCAATGTGCGCAGCGCAAATGCGAGAACCACATCTTGAAAAGAGGCCGCCGTCCACGCCTGAAGCGGCTGCGAACTTCTCAGGCACATGTGCTCGCGGTAAGGCAAGAGCAACGCCTCGAAAGCGGCCTGCCCTCCACCCGTGAACGTGTCGCAGAGTTTTCAGGCGAATGTGCGCGGTGCTCAGGCGAGAACGACAGCTTGAAAGCGGCCCGCCCGCCATCCGCGAAACTGTTGCAACTTCACAAATCGTGAGGGTGTCTCGGGTGAACCGCCCTGCCCGCCCTACCGACACGTTTGGGGGCGCGACAGGGAGGAGTCATCTACAAGGACAGGGGATGGAGGAGGAGAAGGAGGAGAAGGAGGAGAAGGATGAGGGGAGCGAGGAGGAGGGGGTCTCTCAGGGGCGTCTTGGGGGCTTCCTCTTGGTGGCGTCTTTGGGGCCTGCTGGCTGTCTCGGGGGCCCGCTGGGGGTTGGGGGCTCTGAGTGACAGTTCGAGTTCTCCCTCGATTCCTCTCGGGGGCCTCCTGGGAGCCGTCTTGGGCCCCACTTTGGGGCCTCGGTGGCGGACTCTCTTGTGGACGTCTTGGTCGCTCTGAAGACCGAAACGGCAAACATCATTTTAATGAACTCATTTGTAACAGCGTATTCTCAACAATCCTGGATTGTTGGGTCCTCGTTTTGAAGAGACAGCGCCCCGCGTCCTTCCTTCTCTCTGCCCCTCTTTTCCCTTCTCCCATCCCTGCCTTTGCCCTCTGCACCAGTTACCGATTTCGGCACACCCCCCACACGTTTCGCGGCCCCATACGGAGCTCCGCCGAAGGCCCCAGTGGCTCCGTTCGCATGCGCCCACCGCGCCGATTTCGGCACAACCCTCACACGTTTCGTGGCACCATAGGGAGTTCCACCGAATGCCCCAGTGGCTGCGTTCGCATGCGCCCACCAGGACCATTTCGGCACACCCTTCACACATTCCGCGGCCCCGTAGGGAGCTCCACCGAATGTCACAGTGGCTGCGTTCGCATGCGCCCACCGCACCTATTTCGGCACACCCCTCACGTGGCCCCATGGGGATCCCCACCGAAGGTCCCTGTGTCAGCGTTCGCATGCGCCCACCGCACCCATGTCGGCACACCCCGCACTCGTTTCGTGGCCCCATAAGGAGTTCCACCGAATGCCCCAGTGGCTGCGTTCGCATGCGCCCACCGCGCCCACTTCGGCGCACCCCTCACACATTTCGCGGCCGCATAGGGAGCTCCACCGAAGGCCTCAGTGGCTGCGTTCGCATGCGCCCACCGTGCCCACTTCGGCGCACCCTTACACGTTTCGTGGCTTCATAGGGAACTCCACCGAAGGCCCCAGTGGCTGCGTTCGCATGCGCTCACCGCGCTCACTTCGGCACACCCCTCACACCGTTCGTGCCCTCACAGGGAGCTCCACTGAAGACGATACTCACAATTGCGTTATTCACAGCTGCATATGGTTGGGTCTTTCGCCAGGCAAATTGGTTTTACTAGTTTTAGCCTCTTGGACTGGCTCCCCAGGCCCGCACGCTAACCACATTACGGTCGTGTAGGGCCATCCTTGACAATGGGTTTCAAGCCTCGCGCCCCGCCGACGCTCCACACCCACGCTGTTAGCACAAAGTCGGCGTCTGTGGCGGGTTGATTGCGTCGGATGAATCGTAGCCTTCCGAGGTCTGGTTGCTTACATCGGCGCTCGAGCTCCGCATCCTCCGCAAGGCAGCCCAGGCGCTTCGCCGCAAGCAAATATATCTGCAATGGCGGGGGTAGGTTTTTGAATGATGTTGGCACTCCTGGGGGCCCCTCGAGCCTTCTCCTTGGTGTCTTTGAAGCGTCTTGGGCCCCCTTTGGCGCCTCGTGGGCTTTTTGGGGGGCTTCTGGGCGCCTCTTCAGGTCGTGTGAGGACGTCTGGGCGGTCTTGGCTGCCTCCCTGGACCGTCTGGGAAACCTTGGAGAGCCCTGGCGAACACTGGGGACGCATCGGGCGGCTCAGAGGGGGGGATGCCTGCAGGAAGGCGTGCAGAGTGGAGGGTGGCCCCTTGGTTCGTGTGTTTAGAAAACCTACTAGGCAGTATTTGGCATTCTACTGCCATTGGGCACAGTGGCGAATTTTGAAGCGCATGCGGACAGGCAGAGTAAGAGACGGAGAAGGACAAGGAGGAGGAGGAGGAGGAGGAGGAGGAGGGAGGAGGAGGAGGAGGTGGAGGAGGAGGTTGGGGAGGAGAAGCGAAAAGAAGGCGGACGCTCGCTCGGATGAGGAGGAGAAGGAGCATGAGTACGGGGTTGCCCACCAATGGAAGAACATGGCAGTTTTGGACACGAATCAACTGTTATCTGTGATACGCCAGTGCCGCCGCTGCCGCCGCCGTCGATGTCGCCGTGGGCGTCCACGTCACCGCCGCCAACTCCGCCGGCGCCGCTGCCGCCATCGGCGCTGCAGTCGCCGCCGCCGCCGCCGCCGCCGCCGCCGCCGCCGCCATCGTCGGCGCCGACGTCTGCGTCGACGTCGCCGCCGTTGCCGCTGCCGTCGCCGCCGCCATCTGTCGCCGCAGGTGAAGTGCCCCAAGTGCATGACGGTGAACGCCTGCCCCGCACCGGCTGCCGCCCCACAGCCGTCCATCCCGACGATGGCGCGCGCCTCGGCCCCGCCACGATCAAGCTGGACGATCAAAGCACGTCGGTGCAGTTTCATTGTCAGTGTCGGGCTAACGTTTCGTCCCTTGCGGGACTCTTCTGGGCCACACTGATTGTTGACGATGTATCTCCAAACCGACCATCCCGACGATGGCGCTCGCCTCGCCCTCTCTCTTTTGTCTTCCAAATCTCCGACGATATGGCTTGCTCAATGCTTGCGTCTCCTGGAGTCCTAATTCTGCCAGGCCTCTGACTCACTTGGCTGCAGCCGTCCTTCGAATCAAGTGCTCCCGCTTTGCGCGGAAGCGCCAGCTGCTCTTGCGAATCAGCCTACCGTGCTCCTTCCTTCGCGTAGCTTCCCCTGCCTCGTCCTACGTTTTCTGCTCCGCAGCCTCCTTCTTCTCCTCCGCTCGGTCCCCATCGTCGTCCTCGCCCTCTTCAACCTCCTCCTCTTCCTCATCCCCGCCCCCTTTGACCCCTGCCCTCCCTGTCGTCCCATTTCCACCTGCTCCTCCGCTCTCCCGCCTCTCTTTCCTCCCGTGTGTACATACATACTCTGTCAATTAAAGCTGTGCGCGTCCCGCGGAGCTTTTAGCGGAAGAGGCTCGCTCTCGCCCTGCAGACCCCAAAAAGTGTACATGCATACGTACGTGCATGCATGCCATGCGCGCAGGTCGGGGGCGGGCCCGGAACCGCGGCCGCGGCGTGGCATGGGGGCCCTGGGCGGGCCGAGGGTTTCTGGGCGGGGCCTCGGGCGTTTTCGGACGGCCCCAGAGGCCGCCATGACCGTCCCGAGGCCGCCCCGGGCGCTCCGCGAGCGCTCCGAGACGCGCCACGGTTGCTTCAAGTAGGGCCAAGAGCCCCCGCAGCTCCCAAAGAGGACTCCAGGAGGCTTTCCCAGAGGGCGCCGAGAAATTCAGTTTGTCTTTCCGCGGGAAGACGTGCACTTTCAGCGCATGCGACTTTCGGGCTTCCATAGCATCCTCGACGGCCCGAACGGCCCGCAAAACCGGCCCAAAACAGCCCAAGAGGCCCACCAAAGAGTCCCAAGATGACCCCAGAGAGCCCGACGACGCGCCCGAGGCGGCCACGGGAAGGCCCCGAGAGGGTTTCAATACCGCCGAGGAGAGCCTCTCAGACCGCCAGCGGGTCCCAAGAGGGCCCCCAGAGGCCCCGAGAGGCCCTCAACCAGCCCGTGCAGAAGCCCCGCGAGGCGCCCAAACAGGCCCGAAAAGGGCCCAAAGAGGCTTCGAGCTGTTCCCAAGGGTGCCAAAGGTTTTCTTCAAAGATGCCCCACACATCCTCCTAATTACTCCAGATTTCGTAGTAAAAGGGAGGGGGTCTGGACCCTCCAAGACAAGCCATTTCAGACCTCCCCCGTGGGAGAACCCTCCAAAACATCGTCCCCAGACCCCCCAGGCCCTCCAAGATAGCTTGGAAGAGACCCCCCCTCGAAATGAGACCCCCCGCCCTTTATTACGAATTCTGGAGTAGGCCAGGCGTCCGACTCACTTGGCTGCAGCCGTTCGTCGAGTCGAGTGCTCCCGCCTTGCGGAAGCGCAGGCCGCTGCTGCGACGCAGCCTGCCGTCCTCGCTCCCTCTCGCAGCCCTCCGTGCCTCCTCCTGCGCCTCCCGCCCCCTCGTCGTCCTCGCCCTCTTCAGCCTCCTTCTTCTTCGTCATCCTCGCCCCCTTGACTTCTTTATCCCCTGCCCTCCCTGTTGTCTCATCTCCACCTTTCCTCAGCCCTCCCACCTCTTTGTCCTCTCTGGTATGTGTGTATGTATGTACGTAGGCATGCATGTATGTGCATTTTACACGTAGATATGTATATATATTTATACATTATATATCTATATATATATATATATCTATGTATGTGTGTGTATGCGTGTATGTCTGTCTGTCTGTCTGTCAATATGAGGGGGCCGAGCGGGCATTTGCTGTTCCTGGCTACGTGGCTGACGTGGGCTGCTGCGGTACGGATTGTTGTTGTTGTTGTCGTCGTCGTGGTTGTTGTTGTTGGTGGTGGTTTTGGTGGTTGTTGTTGTTGCTGTTGCGGTTGCAGTTGCTGCTGCTGTTGTTGTTGTTGTTGTTGAACATTATTTATTCTAAAGAATAATTATTGTTGGGCCCCCTGGTGCACGCCCCCCCTGCGCCGCCTAGGCCGCAGCTACATTTTCATCATTTTCGTGAGGAAGCCTCAGGTAAAACGATGTGATCCAGATCCGGTTGTTTTGTTGTAATCCGTTTTCCCTTGCAAAAAACACTATAAAATGACATTTCTTGTTCTAATATAATCAAATTTCAAGAATCCCTTGCAAAAAATAAGGTAAAGTGGACATTCGCGCGCGCAAGACGAAATCCTTCCAAAAGCTTAGTGTTCGGAGCGATTTTAACATAAAAACATCAAAAAACCAATGGTTTTTCAACAAAAAAATGTCAAAATCTCATCCCGCGCGCTCTTGCGGATTCGTAGGAAACCCAACACTTTTTAAACATTTCTGTCAAACGGGCTTTTGCGAGCAACTTTTTCGAACTTCTGCGACAACGGTTGCGCACCTGCCAGGGCCATCATCCCTGTCAAATAATACCATGCGGGACACATTCGTTTTTTCTTCGCGCGCGCACGCCGAAATCTCCAAAAACCATTGGGCTTCTTAAGAATTTTAGCACCGCGCATCATAAAATCACACGAATCGCACCGTAGGTCCTCGAAAAACACCTGCACGACTTTTCAAAATTTCTACCCGCGCGCGCTGTCCTAACAACTTCTGTGGGTGTGTACTCCACGCCAGTGTAGTAGCCACGGTCGTCCGCAGGCCACGAAGTGAAGTGTCCGAACGTCATAGGGCGGGAAGCTGGGTGTGGGTGGTGGCGAAGAGTCGTGTGGATATTTGGTAGAGCTTGCACTGCCCCCCCACAAAGTGGGGGTATTGGCTGGCGTCGCATGCAGACCCTGGCACTGGTGAGAACACTGAGCGTTCGGGTAAAGTGATTGTTGTTGTTGTTGTTGTTGTCGTCGTCGTCGTCGTCGTCGTTGTTGCCGTTGTTGTTGTTGTTGTTGCTGCTGTTGTTGTTATTGTCGTTGTTGTGGTTGTTGTTATGGTTGGCCCCGGCGCCCCCCCCCAAACAACGCGACAACAGCAGCAACAACAGCAACCACAACCACAACAACGCGGACGGCTCCCGCTCGAGACGTCTTCGCAGTTCACAGAGGAGTGATGGACTCCTACGCACCGGGGCCTCGGCGCCCCCCCCCCCCACACCCCTGCGTCCCCGCACTCCCACGCCCCCAGACACCCCAACGGCCCCCCGACACCCGAGGGGACGCCCTGTAGGGATCCAGCTCGGCCTCCTCCCAGGTCTCCTGCGTGCCACGGTCACCCCATCGTCTCGGTCCGCCGTCGACTGAGGAAAGGATGATGGTTATGATGAAGCTGATGGGGATGATGATGGTGGTGGTGGTGGTGCTGATGATTAGGATGCTGATGATTATGATGCGGATGATCATGATGATGATGGTGGTGGTGGTGGTGACTGTGGTGATGATGATGGTGATGATGATGATGTTGATGATGATGATGCTGATGCTGATGATGGTGATGGTGATGATGGTGGTGGTGATGCTGCTGATGCTGATGATGATTATGATGCTGATGATCATGCTGATCATGATGGTGGTGGTGTTGGTGATGACGATGGTGATGATGATGGTGAGGATGATGATTATGATGATTATGATGATTAAGCTGATTATGTTTATGTTTATTATGAGGATGCTCATGCTGATGATGATGAGGATGAGGATGAGGATGATGATGATGATGATGATGATGATGATGATGATGATGATGATGATGATGATGATGATGATGATGATGGTGGTGGTGTTGGTGGTGGTGGTGGTGGAAGTGGTGGTAGTTGTGATGATGATTATGGTCTCCTACTAGGCGTCTTCCCAGGTCTCTTCCAAGACACGGTCAACAGCTGATGAGGTCCCTATAAGGGGTCCCAGTGCAACTTGTAGGATCCATGTAGGGAACCTCTTGCAGCTGGTAGGATCCCTATCGGGATCCTAGTGCAGCTTGTCGGACCCCTATAGGGAACCTTTTTACAGCTGGTAGGATCCCTGTAGGGGTCCGATTGCAGCGGGTCGGATCCCTGTAAGGATCTTATTGCAGCTGGTATCGGGGGCCCCCAAACGGTGCGGTGACCACACCGTGCCGTGAGTCGGTGGGGATTCGGGGTCACCGCACGGTTTTGGGACTCGGGTCGTTCTCCGAGGACGTCTCGGGCGACAGGGGCCTCCGAGGTCCCAAAACCGTGCGGTGACGGACCGTGCGGTGAGGTCTTGGGGGATTTCGAGGTCACCGCACGGTCCATCACCGCACCGTTTCGGGACTCCAAATGGTAGGATCCCTGTTGGGGTCCTATGACAGCTGGTAAGATCCCTGCAGGGATCCTCTTGCAGCTGGTAGGCTCCCCTGTAGGGATCCGATCGCAGCTGGTAGGATCCCTAGAACGATATTATTGCAGCTGGTAGGATATTTATAGGAAGCCTATTACAGGTGGTAGGGTCCCTACAGGAATCCTATTACAGCTGGTCGGACCCCCATAAGGATCCTATTGCAGCTGGTAGGATCTCGATTCGGATCCTATGATAGCTGGTCGGATCTCTGTAGGGATCTTCTTGCAGCTGGAAGGATCCCTAGCCGGTTTTATCGCAGCTGGTAGGATCCCTCTAGGGATCTTAATGCGGCTGGTAGGATCCCAATAGGGATCCTATGACTGCTGGTAGGATCCCTGTAGGGATCCTCTTGCAGCTGGTAGTATTCCTGTAGGGATCCCATCGCAGCTGGTAGGATTTTTTTACATACCCATTACAGGTGGTAGGATCCCTATAGGAATCCTATTACAGCTGGTCGAACCCCCACAAGATCCTATTGTAGCAGGTAGGATCCCGATTCGGATCCTATGACAGCTGGTAGGATCCCT